ACGTCAAAGGTTTCAATTGGTGTCATTCATGCATATTTCCCACACACACATATAATGCCTGGAGATGCTCATGATGGGTTAGTACAGATCAAGGTTGTTTGATTAGTGAAAGACGCAACAAAATGTTGCTGTATGAAATTTTAACACAGACACCTCACATATTTTTCTTGTTTATATTCTATTTTTATTATTTTTATAACTCAAGGTGACAAACCAAATCGACACACAATCCTTCTCTTATTTTCCCCACAACAACAACCTCGTGACCTGGGTTGGGCTGAGAAAAAAAATGACTGGCTCAAAGTCACCCAGTTGGTAACCAAGAACAATTCCTGTTTCCCCCTCCTCCATCTTTTGTGTGCCTATCACTTAATTCCCTCCCCAGTCATGCTTGCTTACTCCTCTAACAACCTTAGGCTACAGTCCTACAGAATTGCCAAATCTTTTTCCATGGATGGGACAGTTTTGGTTTGATAGGAAAGTTACACCCACAAACACAGAGTGGAAATAGAACTGCTGAGACTTTCTGGTTAACCGATCACCTTCCTCTTAACTTGCTTACATAAAGGCTTGTAGAAAAATGGCATAATATCAAAATCTTATGACTAAATGGTTTCTTTTCCTTGAGAGTTTTCTTTCTTTCTCAGAGATATAAAGTGACATGGCTGAATTAGCCAGCTTCTGCCTACTGTTCCTATTTAAAACCTGATTTTAATATTTGTTCTTTCATGCTCTCTTAGATAGGAATCAAAACCTCTTCCCGACATGAAGGGAAGTCTCTGAAATTCAGTCTAACAAAATAAAATGTGTTCCAGTGGAATTAAATGGGCCTCCACACAACAATCAAGGAACACTCTCAATGCACTGATCAGACAGATTGCCTACAGATTAGTGAAAAAGAAACTCTCCTTTGGCACATATAATCAAGCCTACTTACAGTTTAGCTGCTTTTGAGTTTTGGTACCTAAATTTGATTTCTTTAGGAGCAGCTACTAGAGATACTACAAACAAGGTCCCTGGATTACCTAATTTTCATGGGGACCACGTGTGCAGACTTGGTGTCTGCAGAAGAAATGTGACGCCAGGCATCTCATGACATCATGGTGCAAATAATGCAGACCACATGATTCTTGACATTTGCCAGATGACAGCATGGCACATGTGACATCACCATCACTTCTACTAAAGAGCTATGGCAGCTCACAGCTGGTGGAGAAAATGCGTTACCTTTGCTATTCCAGGATTTGATTCAAGCCACCCATTTTGGACTTTCAACTTGAATTAAGCCAGATCCCCCCAGGCTAAGAAACTAATGGGGAATATAATATTCTTTGCTTTAAACCAGTTTAGCATCCTGTTTTTGTTATTTCATTATAAATCACCAAGAAATCTAGATAATCCAGGATATATGAAATTTAATTCCTATCCAAAATAATAGAAAATGTTAAGAGTTCTAATGTGACAGGTACTTTGCAACCAATAGGACTCTTGTATTTCTACTAACTAGACAGAAGATAAATGGAGAGAATTACAGTTTTAGGAATCCCTGGTGCTGCAATGATGTGAGGAAGGCACTTGAGACTATTTCTTCTTCTCTATAATTGCTAATATTTCACTGGTGATTTTCCTATTAGTGACATAGTATCACAGAGCATTACCCAATAGTTGATGACAGCTTTACATTGCCTCTGTTATAACTGGGGGAAGCTAGAAGATGGAATGATTTAATAGAGGGGAAATATGCTAAGTTAATGTTGCAGACTTGGTATGATGTGAAAGAAAGAAAAAGGTCTTTAGATCTGTTTTGGAGTATGAAGGATTTCAGTGAGTTTACAGGGGATGCTGACTTGTCCTGCAATAGGAATTTAACACCCTTCCCCCAGCAATAAATCCTGACTTCATTGAGATACAAATGTTGATGACACTAATAGAAAAAATGGCTATGACTGTAAATATAATTCTGTAGCTCAGTTGCCAATTTTAATTAACTGTGTTTTTTGGAGTTGCAGAAGCAATTTGCAATAAGATCATGCATACATACTTCACATCCCATAATTATTACTATAATTAAATTCAAACAATTATATTCGTAGGTGTGTTTTTGTTTCTTCATTAAACTTCATTTAATTTAAATTAATATTACAAAAACTGCATTAGCGAACAGAAAAAAGAGGTGATCAAACAATGACAAAAGAATAGGAAAAGGGGCGATAGAAACCAATTTTGGCTGTTTCAAATAATAGTATTGTGCTATTCATTTTTCAAAATACAAATTAAACATAGATATGAATCCTATTATCTGATCTTGTATGAGAGCTGACAGGTTTAATTGAATTATACTTAAAATCTGATATTTACAAATCTTTCTAAAAATTATCTTAAATAACATTTTTACTACCATTGTTGTATAATATATTCAGAGCTTTCATACTGTCAGATTCTAAAGTGTACAAATATAATTTATGTTTAATTTATATTAAAGCATTAATTCACTTGCAAGAAACTGCTCCATCATAGTGTTTATTGTCTAATCAAGAAGAAACTACCAATGGATATATCCAAAACATACATACTAATGTTCCCTCAAAATTGTTACATCTGCAATAAAAAATAACAACCATTCTTTTTCAAACCTCTATTGTAGTGTCCAAAATACATCACCATCACCACTGATTTTTTAAACAAGAAATATACTCACATTTTAAAAACCTAAATTATAATTGCAATAAAAGTTACTATATAGTCTAAATTAGTATATTTTTAATATCTATCTTGATAGTATTTTGTAGTTTTTGTAATAAGGAATTCTAAGTTTAACTCCTGTAAAAATCTTCACCAATGGAGGTAAAACTTCTGGACTTTTAGGGACTGGTAAGAATGTCATAGCCAAACATAATAGCTATTTTAACTAAATACATTGCAATTTGGTTGTTTTTAAAAAGTGATATTCTTTTTGTAGCTTTTCAAAAAATTTAAAACTATCTTTATATGTTACCTAATTTACAATAATTGTATCATGTTTAATCTATTATTCCAACCATTCTCCCTTGTCTTAAAATTTTAAAAATAAAAAATAATTCCAAACATCTGAAATTTCAATTTTTTTTAGATCTAAAACCACTTTTAGTTCCTAATAAGGCCTGGATAGGTAAAACAATAACCTAGCTGCAAGAGGTTTTTATTGGTATCAATGATATTGTGATTCTGAAATTAGACTGCAATTTTCAAATTAGTGAGCTTAAGATGACACTTTGAGTTGAGACCGAGACATGATAATCGTGTTCTCGTTCACATATTTACAGTATTCATTAAGTAAAATTCATTTATATTGATGACAAAAGACAATTGGTTCTTAGCCTACCCTCATGCTTACAAGCAGCAACCCCCTTTTTATGATTTTACCTATCTATGAAATAGATTATATCCCAGAACACAGGTACATATTTGTTCTTATAATGCATTACAAATGAAGTTGAGACTTCATAAAGTTTAATACTAGTATATTAAGTCAAAAGTGAAAAATAAGAAATAAAAATTAATCTAGAGTTGAATTCCATAAATCAAGAACAGGAAATATCTGAAATTTGAACTTGAAATCAACCATTTTACACTCCATTTTTTGCATAACTACCTTTCAATTGACTTGCATTCAGAATTCTGAAATTAAAGAAGTGAAGAAGTAAATTTAGGAAGCTAAAACTGTTTAGGCTGCAGTACCATTATAAAAATACACAGTGATATGATAAATTAAAATACAGAACTTAATTTTCTAAATGGTAAGTTGCTGGGAAGTGATTGTATATTTTTCTATAGCTCACCCAAAACATATCTGATACCCCTTATTACCTCTATTGTTGTGGCTTTCTTGCAATGTTCTACAAATATATATTCAATTCATATTGTTTTGAAGACACTAATATAAATAGAAAATATGATGGGAGTTTTAGTATGTCAAGGAAGGTACAATAGATTTTACATACAGCCATAATACTTTATATGAATATCATACTCATTTTATTCATCAGTTGTTCATCCTTGTTTTTTCATTTTGATAGTAATTTTGAATGTGGAATATAATTATAGATAAGCAAATATAGATGATGATGATCATTGTAATTATCCCCACCTCAGATTTTATCACTAATTTCTGCTGCACTAACCAACATAATGCTTCAGTTAGAATTATATCATTTCATGGAAATTGAAAAAAAACTATTATAAGATTGAAAACCAAGATTTTAACAAATACAAATAGTCATTAGGGTAGACCAAAATAGTTGTGTAGTTTTTGATAACAGTTTATTTCTGGAGAATAAAAAGACTGCCAGAATACTACAGAATGAACATAATTTAGCAATATGAAATAAAACTTAACATTGCTGAATTTAAATGCATTGTAAGTATGCACTCATTCAATCTTATCTAGATATGTTGTACTATGAGTACTTTGTGAAAAGTTTTGTACACAAAATGTATTTATTGTATTCATATGTCTGGAGAGATGTGACAACTTAAAATTTTATTCTTTACAAATACATATTCCTAACAGTTATATATTCAAATTTACACAGTAGCCAAGAAAAATATCTAGACTTGGGGACCATTTTAAACATTTACTGATATATAATCTGAACAAATGTGTCTTAATACAAGTATTTTATGCAAGCCATTTCAACTGTACACTACAATAAAATCATATACCCATTATTGTATTTCTTCCAAATTTATTCTTCCATTTATATTTCACTTGTTTTTAATTGCAGATATGTTTTTAAAGTTTAAATTTCATTCCAAAAATCAATTTCAGTAACATTTATTTATTTAACATTTATAAAACTTCTTTGTTAAAAAATGAAAAGTTGGAAAATCACAGAGAGTAAAATTAAATACCGCACACACAATATTTAAGTTCTTTGCATCAGGGACATTAAAACATGATGATAATTTGTACGCCAACTGAGAAGAAATTGCATTTAGATTTAAATGCTGACGGTCAATTACTATTTCAATAATTTTGTTTTCTTTTTGCCACTTCCCCATCCAGCGCTGAGTTGAACTGGATTGTCTCGAAATGATATCCGTACTTTGTGGGCAGGGCTCAGTTGTGATTTCTCAGGTGAAGGTGTATCCTTTTCTACAGAAATAGAAAATATTATTCATTTGAATCCAGTCATCCTCCTTTAAGCTTAATGGGAAAACAGCAACTTTCCAGACTGCTTTGATTTTGTTATTCAGTAAGGTTTCATTGGGACACTTTGATAGAAATGCTGATTTGTAAATATTTACTACAATTGCAACACAATGCATCTATTCAACATACTGAAACAAGAAAAATGTTGGATAACAATAACATACTTAATTCGGAACCATCTTTCACATAAGAGCATAAATATATTTACTTTAAACAAGTATATAATCATATATATATTGCCTTGATATTAATCGTTTACTACTTCCTAAAACCTAATAATTTTGGGGTAGTTTTAGTGGAACTCAAAATGTTCAGAATTAGGTGGATATAAAGAAGCTGAAAAATTAAGCAAATATACTTTATGATCGTTAAAAATATTTTATCCATTTTTTTTTGTAATTTCCCTACAATTATTTCTTGCACATCAATTTCATAGATTTGGACATTTTTTAACCCATCAAGAAAAATCAATGTAATATGTGTAAGAAATAGTGCATAAAACAGGGTGGATAGATATCAAATTGAGACTTTCCACATTTTTGGGGGGGGGGGGGCATAGCTTTAAAGTAAATTATGCTTTTCTCTTCAGTGGAAAACCCCCCAAATGTCAATAGAGACATTGTGGATGAAGAGACTGAGGAAAGCATTATTGTGGTCTGTTGCTGCTGTAAGCATTATCACACTGACATAATATTGCTTTGCAGTAAAGCTATGGAATTTGGGCTTTTATATGTATCCATGTATATAGATATCATTGAATGAACTCCAAGTTTACTAAAGCTTTGTTTCTGATAAGGTTGGCATATTCCAATTCTATGCCATACATTGAATATGATTTATTGATGATAGATTATGAACAGGAATTCAGTTTGAAAACCATGGTCAATTAATATAATTAGACTTCAAGCAAAATATTTCCAGATGATATTTCAAAATTTCAGTTTAAGAGATAAAGATCTTGATGTACAACAACACTGACATCAGCAAGAAGTATTTTTCTTTCTTATTGTACTAAATAATTTCCACTTAGCACACAATTATTCGTTGTAACTTCCCTTCCTCAGATCAACTAGCTAGCTAGCCAAACAGGCAGCCTATACTTACCCTTTCAGGCAGAATATCCATTAAATATGGATTATTATAAAAAGCTGCAGTAGAGGACATTGTAAAAAATTGGAAAATAAACTAAAAAATCAATCTATGTAGTTTGATGGCTATTGTATTTTTAGGCCATTCTAGCTGCAGTATTCTATAGTCTGGTTTCCAAACTTGGCCTTTTCACCTGTTTGTCTGTCTTTCAGTATCTACTGGTCTCCTCATAGCAATTACTGTTTCTTCTCCTCCTCCATGCTTTTCAGGGTGTCTGTTTGAGAAAACTGTTTGCTGGAAGAGGACAATTTGCAGAATAGAGAGACAACAGGCAGTGGGTAGGAGGGACAGGCTTAGTGAATCATCCAGAAACAAAGATAGAGTTAGAGATTGCAGCATGTCACCTTCTCATTCAATTTATTTTAATTGAAAGAACTACAATCAGATGAGAAATGAACTTGCCATGTGAAGGGAAAGCTTTCCAGAGATACTATGTGCTGTATTTGATTTCCAAACTACATCCCTATGAATATCATCTTCCCATGTTACATTTAAAAGAAACTTGATATGCAATAGCTGCAAGCAACAACACTCAATACCTGGTATTCATCTTTATAAGTAGCTGAACTACATGTTTATAAATGCCGTAAGTCTACTTATGGAATAAATTTTCCAAGCAACTAAGCCCTAAACAAATTCTATTTTCCAGAATTTTTAACACTGCTGCTATCTCTTGGTGGGTTTTAGCCATTGTCTGTTGGTCAATTAAAGCTCTACTAATACAAAGAACAATTAAGATTAATTCTAAAGTACTGAAAATGTTTATAATACAGTAGAATATCAGTTGGAATAACTCTGGATATGCAGCAAACTCTTCATTGAAATTCACTGAAATTCAGTGACTAAGATCCACACAGGAAACTATATATAAAGAGCTGATCAGTAATGTAAAATGCTGATATTGAATAATGTATTTGATGAGGTTTCTAATTATGCCAAGTGAGAAAATATAATTGAGTTAGATTCTTTATCTTTAGGCATAATTTTAAATTTGGCAAAATTTTGAATATGTTGAAAAAAAAAGGAGGAACTTCATTGGAGATTTTGAAAATGATATTTTCTTATGAAAGAGTTTAGTCTTAAAACCCCTTCAAGGCTACGGTTTCTGCATAAGATAAGATATTTTTTATTTGTCACTACATGTTGCTACCTGTTACAAATATTATATAGTTATGAATTGTTTCTTTGTCCATCTTTTAAGCTAATTATATCCTATCCTCTGGATAAAGTTAGAATTGTTTCCATTTACAAAAGAAAAGAAAAAACAAACACCAACATCTGTTCTCAAGAGTTATAAGATAACTATGTAAATCTAAAACCACAAGACATAACTCATGAAGACATCTCCAAAAAGGTTATTGAAATGAAAGATAATTGTGGAAGAGCACAGCTATGTTCCCAACAGTTCCTATTTAGTCTAATATTACTTTGAAAGGAGAAAATCCTGCTGGATTTCATTCAAAAAATTATATTAGTATTGAAATGGATTCTGATTAGATAACAAGATAAAAAATAGCTTTCTTTGGATTGAAAGCGTGAAATGTTTAGTTCTTCTTTGCAATTCCATTAATATCTATATATTTAAAGTACCTACTATGTACAATTTCAACTTAATAGTATGCATCTATTACTCTATTTTCTCTACTTCCAAAATAGAGTACCAGTTTAAATTACAATAGAGAAGTAATAGAATTTACTGTCTACATAAGTTACTTGGGTACTGGAATTGCTTTTAATGCTTCGTAAGAAAACAGAAGATATTGACAGGTGATTGTTTCTGCTGCAAATAAGCATATCTTTCATGATACTAGATTTATTTTTTGAGAAGAATTTGAACATCCCAAACTTTAGTATGTGTCATTTAATATAATGCATATGATATTTTATTGATCCAAGTAAAACAAGTACTGTCTGCATTGATAATAATTGTAATTATCTAACAGTGGCAGGAACAAAACAAAGTACTATAGAGTTTTATATTCTTATGAAAGTATTATTATGCAAGAATATTGGAAAGTACTATTCCATGTAGTGTAATCCTTGCCATAATTTCTCAGAAGTAAATCCATTCTGATTCTCAAGATTTAACCAGCAATATACCTAGGATATAGTATTATACAATTAGGATAGCTCCAAATAAAGATCTAAATTTTTATTCATTAGCAATTATCTCCAAAACATTTTTTTAAGTAACAGGCTCATTATTATAGTGTGTGTGTGTGTGTGTGTGTGTGTGTGTGTGTGTGTGTGAAATTTGAAACAAAATCACAGGGTTCATGCATGCTCTCCAGTGCTCCTAATATAATTGTTTGGGCCCTTAACTTACAAAGCAAAATTATAAGAAGTTTAGAAAAAGAATATAATATAAATTTGTTGCAGGTGCCACTTCATTACATTCTGTATAAATTAAAATTATAAAAAGTAATCTTCCCATTTATTCATAGATAATGATTATTTAAAGCAAAGCACATGAGAATGTGCCATTTATTTAAGTAAAAGCTACTAAAAAGCAAATGGTTTTAGGACTGTGAGATGAGTACCTGCTTAGGAAATTAAATATTAAGTGTTTGGTAAGACTTACAGGAATAAGTGATTCAATTACAGTTTTCAAGTTAAGCAAAATCATTGACAACTCTAATTTTTCACATGATTGAATTTATAAGGTACTTATAATGTATATATATATGTGTGTGTGTGTGTGTGTGTGTGTGTGTGTGTGTGTGTATATATATATATATATATATATATATATATATATATATATATATATATATATATATAATATGTATATATGTATAATGCACATATAAACTTAAATATACAAAGATGTTTCCCTTTTTCTAGATAACATTTAATTAGTTAACACACACATGCTAGAGAAATGCAGAAATAAAACTTTTTTCAAGTCTATACATTTTAAATATGCCTGTATACAGTTTTATGTATCCTATATATATATAAAACATAAACAGAGTAACATTTCAAAGAAGGACAGAATCCAAAGCAAAAACTTGACCACGCTACTAAAAAAAATGTAACATGGAAACTAGTCAGGTGATTTGTATTTTATCTACTATTATTAAAAAGAAAAAAAAAACAGCTTACTTGAAGATTCTGCAGAGTGTCTGTGTGGCTGATTATTTTTTTCTCTGTTCTGAGTCAAAGTACTTCCACTGGTCAGGGAAACAAGCTCTAAATCCGTATCTTCTCTCCTTACAGGGCTTGTCTGGAATCAGTGAATGTACACAATCATGAAACAAAATATGACATTTTCTGAATGCAGCTCACATTACTCTCCAATAAACAAGCCAGCTCTGTCAAACAATCTTCTTCAGAATGATCCCACAATCCTTTATTGCTGCCCATTCTGAACAAATGCACTATGTCAAAGCATTTTGGTAAATGGGAGTCGATCTTAAAATTGTGGTTTGTGATCAGAATCAGCGCAGCAACGAAAGACAACATTTTAGTACTGTAATTTTGAAAAAAATAAATCTTGCAGACAACTGATGAAACCTTAAACAGCTTAAGATCATTTACTGGGCAGTCTGTAATTTAAAGTTGGAGTTGAATGCCAGAAATGCTATATCTGATTCTTGTTGTCATATGTCCACTTAATCCTATGTAAATATCTGTTTATCAATTCTATAGTGGTTTAAGTTATTTCATCTTCACTATATAACTAAATTCTAACAGATTGATGTAGATATAGATTTTATATATATATATATGAATTATTGGTATACGTATACTTCAACTATAAGCAAATTTATTTATTTCTAAGTAAAAGAATTACTTTCACATAAGGATCATATCTTTTGAAGCTAAAATGTGTATTAATTTGATTTCTACAAAAAAGACCTGTATGAGTTATAAATGTAATAAAGTTCTCAACTTACGACCACAACTGAGTCCAAAACTACTGTTGCTAAGTGAAACATTTGTTAAGTGAGTTTGAGATCATTTTATGATCTTTCTTGACACTGGTGTTAAGTGAATCACTATAGTTGCTAAATTAGTCAAACTGTTGTTAAGTGAATCTTGCTTCCCCATTGATTTTGTATGGCAAAAGACCCCCCAAAATAATCACATAGTCCCGGGACACTGCAAGCATCATAAATATGAGTCTGTTGCCAAGTGTCTTAATTTTGATTATGTGACCATAGGGATGCTACAATAGTTGTAAGGGTGAAAACTGGTCATAAGTCACTTTTTTCAGTACAGTTGTAACTTTGAATGGTCACTAAATGAACTGTTGTAAGTCAACGACTACCTTTATTTATGAAATCTGTATGCGTGTATATACAGATATAAATATCAGTTTGCATATGGATTAATATTTATGGCAAAATCAGTGCTACCATAAAATGTACATGTGGATGGTATTGATATATTTCTAAAATGAGCTCAGGCTGCCAATATGTTTACAGACATATCTGATTTTTATATATTCTTGGTTTTTGCACGCTTTACCTGTCCTTTTGACTCCCTGTAGAGCCTAGCTAAGACTTAAATGCTAGACCAGTGATGGCTAACCTTTTTGTCGTTGCGTGCCAAAAGTGCGTGTGTGTGCAAGAGCGTGCACATGTGTTTGTACCCATAATGCAATGCATGTGTGACCCTCCGTGTTCACCCCTCCCCTGTGCATATGACCCTCCCCCTGTGCATGCACACATAACCCCCTGTGCTACCCTGCCCCTCTATGTATCCACATGGGATCCCTGTGCTCACCCCGCACCCTGCACATGTGTGTGGTACCCCCCTGCACTCCCCTGCTCCCCTGTGCATCTTCCCCATGTGCCCCACCTTCCATGCATGTGTGGCAGATACCCAAAAAGCAGCTGGTTGGTGGGAGGCGCGCACGCATGCATAGTGGAACTGAGCTGGGATGACAGTTCACGTGCCCGCAGAGATGGCTCTGTGTGCCACTTCCAGCACATGTGCTGAGGTTCACTATCACGGTGCTAGACTGTAGACTGCCCTCTACAGGCAGTCAGGCAGACAGCTAAAGCTTGCAAGAAGTAGAGTCCTCCATTTTGTTGCACAACTTTTAAGCCATGATATATTTTTTTTCTTTAGGGGAAAACGCTGCCGAAATATTTTATTTCCTTGCTTGCTTTGTTCCTCTACTGTTCAGCCTGGAGTCAAGGTAAGGTTTTTAAAAGGGATACAGATCAGAGACCAAAGAAAGAGTTAGTTTTAACACCTTTTTTTGGGGGGGGGAGGGAAGATCTTGAGGGAAGGAGTGGGGGGGCTTAAGGAAGGGAAAGGGTTTAGAAAGGTTGTCCTGAAGCTGCATTTTATGCAGGGGCTGCTTTCCAAAGCCAGACAAGAGGCAGGAGACCTTTGCAGCCTCCCGCTGCTTAGCAGAAAGCACTGAATGCCATCGCCATTTCTGCAAGGGTTGGGGCCCTGAAAATGGCAGCTGCTTCCAGGAGGCATGGGGTACAGGCCCAAGCACTGCAGGTGGGATGGGCCAGGGGAAGACAGGCAGGAGGGCGGCACTGCAGCTGTCATAACTTTGAAATAGGGTTGTATATAGTTTTGAGGTGTTGGTCATAAATTTGAATCATCATTAAGTGGCCTATTGTTTCTTGGGAACTACCTGTATAGCATTAAAACAACAAAAATTATTACTTTGCCGTGATCAAGATATAAGAAAAGTGCCCAGGAAGTAAAGAAGTCAAGGCTCCCTCTTTGAATCTAAAGTGTTTCTGCAAACATGAACGTGAATACCCACACATAACATATTTTCCAATTCAGTGTCGGTAGTTAGACTTAGACTAACTTTATTGTCACTTTAAATGTACACTAATCGGCATACATTAAAATGAAATTTCATTGCATACAGCTCAAAGGATCACCACTTCCAATATATACTACATAAATATGAGAAATAATAAATAAATAAATAAATATGCATCTACCCATATACCCATGTATATTACATGATGCAGAGAAACAATACAGTCTAGTTCAGATGTATACATGTACATGGCAAGAAAAACTAATCCTGCGAGTTTACCAGATGGATGGCATAGGGAACAAAGTTCTTCCTTAATGGCCAGTTGCTTAGAGAGCACTTAAAATTATGATAGACCCCAGCTAAAGATACTTATGATCCGGTTTCTAAGTTCTAATGGCTGCATCCTCCTCATGGTCATGTGACTGCATTTTGCATGCTTAGCAACTGGTTTACATTTATGCCATTTGCAGCATCCCACACTCACATGATCACAATTTTTGGCATTTTGTTTCTGGTTTTCAGTCTTTATTTACGATTTCCAGCAAAAAATGCCATTAGATAAAAAAGATTCACTTAATAATCGCTGCAAAAAAGTTGTGAAATTGGACCTGGTCATGTGGTAACTTGCTTAATGATTGCAGTGTCTCACGACTGTAATTATGAGCTTAATTGCAGTCATAAGTTGAAGACTATCTGTATTCATAGTTGCAATTGGGTTTTAAAATGCAAAAGTGTGAGCAGTGTGATATATTTGCTCTGCAGAGGATTTGTTTGAAACAAATATTTCCTTTCCCCTGCTCATTTTCATGTTCTTATTTTGTACTTCTTGAGGATTTTTACAATGTTCTATCCTAGGACTCCATATATAATAAATGAAACATGAAAATCAAATTATATATATATATGTATGTATGTATGTATGTATGTATGTATGTATTTATGTATGTATGTATGTATGTATGTATGTATGTATGTATGTATGTATATATATATATTAGGAGCTACTAGAGCTATACTAGCTACTAGAGCTATACTAGGAGCTACTCAGAGGTGGTATTCAGCAGGTTCTGACCAGTTCTGGAGAACTGGTAACGGAAATTTTGAGTAGTTAGAAGAACTGAAAAATACCACCTCTGACTGGAGATTTTACAGTATCCTTCAGGTCCCTATTTAATACATATTTCAAAACTATTACAATATAGTTCTACACATCTTCATTTAGAAATTATTATCATTACTAGTGCTGATAAGTATGCACAGCCTCAATCATTTATTGCAAACTTTTATCATGGAAAAAGTATCTTACCACAAACTGAACTCTTCCTCCCTTGAGAACTTCTGGATCTATCTCAGGTAAGAAATGCTTACTATAAAGTGATTAAAAAAATAGTACAACATCAGTGACAGTCCAACATGCATCCAAGTTAATTAAAGTGGGATATACTTCTCTCCCTAGTTAAACAACTTCACAGATTTAGGAATATATGTCTATGATTTTTAGTAACCAACTATAACTTATTCTACATTATATCTATATTTGAAAGGTAGTTAGCTTTATGCAGAGACTGCATGATAAATCTAAATTCTACTTGAGCACACGGAAAAATAGTTTTAGAGTGCATTTGTTTACTTGTTAGTAAGCTTAACAATAATCAGTAGAATTTACGCTGAGGGAAAGACATTTAGAAGTAGACTGTAAAGATTCTTATATTGGTTATATATAATTATTAACAAATCATTAACAAATTTGGCTCCTTTTTAATTTATATATATATATATATATATATATATATATATATATATATAAATAAATAAATAAATAAATAAATATAACACAATTTAACCAGAACAAATAAATACTGGTAGTCCTCGACCTACATAAGTTCATTTAGTGACCGTTCAAAGTTTCAACAGCACTGAAAAAAATGACCATTTTTCACATTTACAACCATTGCAGCATTCCCATGGTCACATGATTAAAATTCAGATGTTTGGCAAGTAGTTCATATTTATGTGAGTGGCTTTTGTGACCTTCTGATAAGCATAGTCAATGGGGAATCCAGATTCACTTAACAACCATGTTACTAACTTAACAACTGTGGCAGGAAAAGTTGTAAAATGGGGCAAACTCACTTAACAAATGTTTCACTTAGCAACATAAATTTTGGGCTCAATTGTGGTCGTAACTCGAGGACTACCCGTAATTTGGATCTACTAGTAAACAGTAAGAAAAATATCAACACATAAATTATTGAGAACTACAAATTTATCAAATTGCCTAATGAATTGAAGATGTACCTCTGCTGCAATAATCTTGGATTTTGTCAGATATGTTTAACAGCTGTTGAACACAAGTTTTTCTATAAAGTGCTTTACCATCATATTCACATTAGTAAAATCCATTATAACATTTATAATATCCTAATACATCCTATAGTTATTTCTTTGCCATACAACTGTACAGAAATAACTCATTACAATTTAGAAACTATTCAAATTACAAAAGGGAATAACATTTTTTAAAATAATATTTTTCTAGATTTTTTAAAAAGATTAAAAACAAAACAGCATATCAACAAGTATTTCAAATGCAATTATATGCAAAGATAATTTAATTCAAATTTAATTCTTGGAAAAGAATTAAATGAATTATTTTTCAAGAATTAAATGCAAAGATGAAAAAAGTATAAAGTTTTAATTCAGTATTTTTTTTTGTCATCTAAAATATACAATTCAGGCAAGAAAACACAACAAATCAGAACATTTGATTTGAAAAATAGTATATAACCATAACAATTATTTTTCAAAGTTAATGCTTCATTAATTGATGTTTTTTATCATTTAAAATGCAATTGAAAAGATTATAAGTTGATTTTTTACATTTTACAGAACACAGCAAAAATATCTATATCTCATTTTAAGACATACATACTATACAATATGTGATACTTCAGGCCAAGACATATTTTGCTTCAAGTATTTTTTTCTGATTTAAAACAACATTTTTTTCAAAAAAACATTAGAAATCAAAATAATAAGTGTTTTCCCAGCTATAGAATCATGAATACTTACATAAAATAAAATACTTCTATTTTTGACCTTACTTTTCTTTATATTTCACCCAAATTTAGTCCTTTACTTTGCTGCTGACTCTCCTGCTTAGTCCATGTTAAGTTCAAAAATTCACCTGCCACATTTTAGCATATCACAGCATCATTTATTGTATCTGGTTGGCTGTTAAGTTATAATTATTTAAATTCATTCCATAATTTAAAAACTATAGGAAACTATTTTTGCCTGCACTATTCATAAAAATATTCCAGTTTCTAACAGAAAATATGTTCATGGTTATACTGAAGAGATAGTCTATGCTGCTGTGTCATAGCAATAGTTTAAAAACTGGCAGAATGAGATGAATTTTTTATTAAATTAATTCTTAACAGGAGCACATTTCAAATTTAGTAATAGTACCTTTGGCGGGGTGGAGTGTATTTCTTTTAGAATAATTAAGATGGGTTTTGTGTTCCATGCAATATTAGAAAAATCCAAACATTTAACTTAAAAGGAATGATCTCACCATTTTTCAATTCTGGGACTGGTTCCTTCAAAATCCCAAACTTGTGTATAAAGCCATTGGCATGTACGTTCTTTACTTCTTTGTATCCTCTCTGTTGCAAAATCTATGTGAGAACATTCTTCTCCTTTACCTGCGGAGGGGAGATATATTGAGTACTGATCTTCTGTATAAACTGTTTGTGGAAGACACCTAATAAGGTAGATGTTCTGGATATGATTGTATGGTATACTAAGCCATCTTGAATTTGTGCATAATTAATATTACATTTAAAAATATTAAATCAATGGACAACCCAGACTAAAATGTTCTAATAACAAAATCCACAAAATAAACCAGGGGCCATTAAACAAATAATAAATATTAATCCCAGGCTTGAGACCAAAGCCAGATTTTCAAAGCTTTCTAGAACCCTAGAAGAGAGGGCACTATCCTTATCTCTAGTGAATAGGGGTAGTGTTCCAGAGCATGAGGGCCATAACAGAGAAGGTATAGTTTCTTAGTGATGGCAACATTTAATGGAGGGAACCAGGAGCATACCTACCCTGCTGGAATGACTGGGCAAGCAGAAACAATTGGAAATAAGCAGTCTCTCATGTATCCAGGTCCTTTGTCATACAGAGCTTGATAGGTAAGAACCAACACTTTGAATTGCATTTGGAAGCCAAGTAGCATCCAATGCAGAATGACACACTGAGTGCATTCATTACTGGTTGTGCTGCTGCATTTCGAACAAACTGTAGCTTCATGAGCAGCCTCAAGTTTGGAACATTGCAATAGTTCATGTAAATTCTTTGTTATCTTACTGCAATACCATTTACAGAATGATTCTCCATATAGAAACATCTATATTTGTTATCTGTATCTGTGCATGTAATTAAGTTTTTTATTTATTTATTTATTTTATTTTTTATTTGTCAATTGCTTACAAGATAATAGGTATAAGTAAAACATAGTTATGAATACATGGATACATATAAGAAAAATAAAAAATATATATAAAAGAAACAATAGAACAGGGATGGTAGGCACGTTAGTGCGCTTATGCACGCCCCCTATAGACCTCTTAGGAAAGCGGTGAGGTCAATAGTAAACTCTTATTATTTCCTTTAAAAATAATAAAAGACAAAATAATAGAAAAACTTTAAAGAAATACATAAATAAGTCAGCTTCCACACATTGCTTCTTTAATTCTATTTATATTACAGATGCGCAGAGATTTTTCCTTAGATCATAAAAGAAGGCAGCTCCCCCTAATGGTGGTATTAATTAGCTGAGATTTAACTTCTGCTCCAAGGTAAAGACCTATGAAAATGTTAATGGTGCCATTTATTCACCTTCTACACTCTCTTCTGTTCTCACTGAGTCCCAAGATATTATTCTATCTTTCTGTTTTCTCCTCAGTTTGCCTGTGCATAGACTCATATCACTTCTACTTTATTCATAGCTAAATCAAAATTAAAAATAGGAATAGGCAGTGAGCAAGAATGTAGGAGATAAGCAATAGGCTGCAGTAACAGTACAACATTAAAAGCTATACTTTTCTTTACTGACATACAAAACAAGAAGGGAGAAAACACTTCCAGAACCTAGCCAAATTTGATACTTCTATCCAACAGATGAATTTGTAAAACAGAAGGATGAGAAGAAACCATCATACCTAAACATGTGTGAACCAAATTCAGTACCAGACAGAAGTGAGGTAATCTCCTGTGCAGACATTGCTTCAGAAATGCAGGAGATATTGAAAAGTTACTTACAACCAGCTGGTAAAACTGCATTTATGAATGGAGAAATTCACATTGGAATATGTGGTATTATATCCTACGTATGCTTATGTGGAGATGTCTTTTATTTCTTGTTTGTCAGTCCAGGAAGCTTAACTTCTTTGGCTAATTCTATAATATGTCAAAACACTTCGTGAAAGGTGTTGGAATGAACACCCTAATTAATTCCTGATTTTTTATAGTGCGAACTTGGATCATTGCTCAAAATCAGGTAACATGCCTAGCACCTGTTTCCTAAAACCGATTCAGGGCAGTCTGTGGGAATATTTAATCCCTTCACATATACACTAGAAAAACACCCTTTATTAAAACTTGAAGTCTCAAGAGAAATAAAGACATTTTATATATTAGCTATTTTTAATTGCTTTTTTCCTTGTCATCAGCAACAGTTGTTTTATGTAAAGTTTATATGTGGAGTTTTTTTTACATAAAATATAGTATTATCTTTGAGAAATTCTGGAAAACTGATGAAGACCCAAAAAATTGGAGGGAATAAATCCTACCTATGGCTCGAAAAGGGGGACAAAAGAAGAGCCAGTGAACTGTAAATCAGCCCCCCCCCTGACCATGATTCTGGAAAGATGTAGACAAATAGTAAAGAAAGTACACTGAAAATTATAATTACTATGGCTGTGCAAAGCATTCTGAAATAGTTATTTACAGTTTGAAACTAGCTGTATTGATTTTTCTGAAGTGTTCTGAACTTGAAATGGGGCCATATTGAATTTGGAACAGATTATTAAGAGCAGCCCATTTCAAACTTAGGGAGGGGGGAAACTGTTTCGAACTCAAAACAGGCATTTTGAACTCAAATTATTTCAAATTCAGGAATTCTGCTTATTCCTAGTGATAGTTTGACAAGAGTAAGTCTTATTAGAATGTTCTTATTTCATTTTTAATGCGTTACTCTCTTTAGTTGACTATGGAGTAACAATAAGGGTAGTATATCTTTATTTCAAAAGATTTGACTAAATACTCTATAGCAAATTAGATGTTTATTGTGACTATGGTGCATTGACCAAAATATACCAAAACTGATTGTAGGGAATACTGTATATGGCATGGGTATAGCTGAGGCTGGTGTGTAATTTTTGTGACTTAAAAAAGAACCATCTGTGAAAGCTTCAATTGACTAAAGCCATGATGTGCCTTAGGGATCAATATCTATGGTGCCCATCCAATAATGATCATGGCACATAGGAAATTGCAATGTAAGAGCAATAAATAGAAGTAAATATGAATTAATGTGTCTATAAAACTGAGAGAAAAGGATGACTGAATGAAGCTATGAAGATCTACATTGATAAATAAATTCATGGGAATAAGGTAGTAAAGTTTATGTATAAATTAAAGGGCTAAAAAATATAACAAATATAAGTTGATTGATATTTGCATTAAAATAAGAACCTGTAATTTGATGACAATTGCATGCTATGCTCTAGTGAATGCTGATAAATGGAAGAACCAGAGGCAAAATTAGGGAAAACTGTAACATTCTGAATTAATGCAATTCAGAGTGGGGGGTGGAATGTTTTGATAGGTGATATGAATGGATGCATGATAATGGGATTGAACGAGTAGGGCCATGTGGAAATTCAAGAATGAATGAGAATGGTGATTGATTAGTTTCTTCTGACTGTTTGAAGTCAATTGATACTTTAACTGGTCTTGTTATCCCTTGGAAGGCAAGTGAAAAGCAGATAAGTAGGAACTGCTACTGAATTCAACCAAGAAACCACCACACTGTAGGTTCTGATGGCTAATCAAAATCTCAGGGAGCGAGATTTAGTTGGATAAATATACCTCCTCTTATATTTTTACTTAAATCCCAATCATAACCCCAATTGCTTCCAATCCAGCCTTCTAGACCAGGGGTGTTAAGCTCAAGGCCTGCGGGCCATGGGTTGCTTAAATCTGGCCCATGGGACCAGCCTGACAATATCAAAGGACCGGCCCATGGTGCCTCTGCTGGCCAAAAACAGGCAATACAGAGGCCCCATGAGCCCTCCGTGGCCTGTTTTTGGCTGACAGAGTGCTGCTGGAAGCCGGGGAGGCTGAAACAGGCTACGCAGGGTCCTCATGGGGCCTCCACGTGACCCGTTTTCAGCTGGGAAAGTGCTGCAAGAGGCCATGGAGGTCAAAATGAGGTGTGGGGGGCCACACGTGTTCCCCATGCCACATTTTGGCCAAAAAGTGCTGCAGGAGGCCACCCCGGCCAAAAACAGAGCAAGGGGGCTGTGTGCCACCACCCCATGCCCCATTTTGGCCAGGATGCATCTGTCGTGCCCTCCTGCTCCCTTCTCTCCCCCCACTGGCCCATGGAGAACTACAATGCTGATCCAGCCCTCAAAGAAATCCAGTTTGACACCTCTGTTCTAGACTGTTATTTAGTAATGTGTCTAATAGTGAATGTGTGACCATTAGCTAATATTTGAATTTTAATACATTATTCTTCCTCACGCAGAAGTGAATTCTAAGAAAACAAGCCTAATGGGCATAACTGAAGAAACAATCAGTTCCTAGAAAATATGTTTTAATTTAGCATTTCCAGATGGCATCCTAACCATACCGAATAATAGCATATCTAGCTTTTATACCAGAAGGCGACAATCCTATGTACATTAACTCAGGTTTCTATAGCCTTCAGTGGAACATGTTCACTTTATAAAAAATACTTTTTAAAAATCAACACAAATAGTGTATCAACACAAATAGTGGTACAATTATTTAGATCTATAGTTATTTAAAAGAAGCAGTACAGAAAGATTACAGTAACCTACTCTGAAAATTTGGTCTACAGATATACACTCTTTATACTCCATGTTGGTTTTCTTTTGGACAGTTGCTCAGGATGCCAATCCACATTTACAAACATTCTGATCCATCCAACCATAAAAATATTTTCTAACATACTCAATTTGGTGCATAATAAATTAAAAACATGATTAAATAAACAAAATATCAGAGTTATTCATATGGATTGATTTGGGAATAAATCCCAATGAATTCAATTCTGAGTAAACATTTATAGGAGTGTGCTACCAATCTGCAGTTCTAGATGTTTTGATAATAATATCAACAGAATCAGAATTGAAAGTTTTCTGTTTATAAATACATTAATCTTAACTCAATATATTGATAGGGTCTATATCAAACAAGGTAATGAATATTTCCCAATATTGAATAACACAACTATCTAAGACAAATGTTTCAGTATAACAATCTTCCCTGAAACTAAACTAATTAAAAAATCCAAATAGATCTTAGTACAAAGGACGGGAACAGGGAAAGGCTGAATAAAAATGTGCATATATATCAACCACATACATTATAAAATTTAAAGAGC